ATGAACATTTACTTGATGCTTTTTTGCTGCTTTTGTTAAAGTTTCACTCCTGGTATTTTTTTATGGACGCACTTTTCTTTTTGTTTCTCTTCTCTGGAAGTTAACCAAAAAACAAAAGTCAGTTTAGCTTTGTTTTGTTTTTCAAACCACCATGAAATCGTGTCTGAATCACTGAAGACGTCTTCGGCTTAAACATGACAAAACACGACCACAGCTGCAGCATTTCTCTTTAAACATGCTCCATTCAACCGTTTTGTAATATATGAGTTTATAAATACAGGAGCAAGGATGAAGTTTAGGAGTTTTCATGCTATAGATTTAGCTGTAAAATATAATAGTAATGATAATAATAAAACTAACTTTATTGATCTATGAATGAATTAACTGGGCTATGAAAAATCCCAAAATCGTTAGATCCCCACTATAATTACAGGACAAATCCCCATGTTGAAATAACCAGCTTTGACTTTGGCCCAAAAGCCTCACTATCACATTAGATAAAGAAAAGATGCAAACCTTTAAAAAAAATCTGGAAATACAGAATATGGAAACCACTTTTTCCTGTCAGTTGACTCATTATTGCACCACGATGCTGAAGAAATTCACACAATAAATGCATGTGAAAAAAAAATATATGATTAAAGGAAGCACCCTTTTTATTCATCCTGGTTTAGTTGCTTAACTAGAGTTCCACATTCTGTATCATAGTGACGAGTCAACACTGACAAGAAAACAGACTCTTGTTGAATAATTTTTAGAAAAGAAAGTCTGTGGTTAAATGTGTTCACATATTGACCTTTCTTTTTAAAAAATGGCCCTCCCAGTAGTTAAAAGATTTGTGGTTAAATGTGAAACAATGGAATCTGTTGTTACGCTGCACACAAAAAAATCTGAAATAAAACACTTTTAGAAAAGACAATTGTGTATTTAAAGCAGAAAATTCCAATCTAACTACATTGTTCTGCTCCATCCTCTAATTTCTTCATAAAGTCAGCCCTTCCTTTCTCCATTTACACACCTGACACATGATACACCACTACTGAGGTATTTGTACAACACTCCTTCCTCAGCATGTTTCAGGGTTTGGTCATGGCTACTGCACTATTTATGACATCTAATATTTTCCGCTTAAAGCAGTTAATTATTTCACACAATACCTGGTGCATTTAAAGGAAGTAGACACTGGTGTGTTTGACGTAATATCTATGACATCCAGTTACATCCGGGAAGCTTGTCTGGATGTCACAGCGACACCACCTGATGTGAATGTGGGCACATAATGTCGCAAGGTCCCATCAAATAATGAGAAATGAAAGTAGACAGACAAGAGCGGGCACAACCGAAAAAAACCCAGCTACAAAAATAGGTGTCCTTCCCCATGATCGCAGCAGGAGCATGAATCTGTTTAAGTGTTTGGGGGGGGGTTTGTTTTGATCTGATGTGTGAAGTTCTTCCACATAGCTGCACAGAGGAACAGCATCTCATTTCACCGTGTGGGCATTTTAATGGTAAATGGTCTGCACTTATATATCCAAAGTGCTGTACAATGTGTTTCTCATTCACCCATTCACACACACATTCATACACCAATGGCGACAGAGCTGCCATGCAAGGTGATGTCTGCCGTTGGGAGCAACTTCGGGTTCAGTGTCTTGCCGAAGGACACTTCGACTGTGGAGGGGCCAGGAATCGAACGGCCAACCTTGCGACTGAAGGACAAGCCGCTCGACCACCTGAGCCACATAATACGGATGTAGACCAAGTATACATTTCAACGTCTCCATCCTCACAGAGGCTACAAAGTATTAATGAGATTAAAGAGTCAAAAACAAACAAAAGTCATTGTCTAACTTGGTTTTGCAAGATGCAAAGGTTTCATTTGTCACATACGGACGTTAAATGAGGAGTTTTATAGATAGAAATGTAACTTGTATGTCAAACATGACATCCTGAGAGACAGCAGGTATATTTTTTAATTTTTTTTAATGCTATTTTAAGCAGCACAAACTAAATCAAATGTGTCTCATTGTATCGTTGCAGAGGCAGAAATTTCAGAAGCAGATATCCCGAAACAAACTAAACCAAAATCTCGGCATCTGCATGACATAATATACAGACAAAGAGGAAACTGTTGCATAAGCCGACTCTGCTGCTCCTTACTGGAACTAACACCAAACGTCCCCTTGACACTCGATTCTTGTAACTGAGCGTAAACTTGAAGTGATTAGGGTTTTTTCCCCCAAATTTGTCTAAGCATACAGTAAATCTGTACGATTATTTATTCTTTTTTTGGGCCTTCTTTTGGTTTTTCTTGTCATACTTTCTCTATAATTATTCTGTTGCATTTAGATTTACAAGGATAACACTTGTTAAATATAACTCTGTTTTACAGTGGAACGATCTCGAGTAATAACAGAGCGAGGGGAGCGGCTTGATCACATTTTAGCTGCGATCATAGTTGCTGACGATTACCGGGACCAGTGCAAACCTTGTGTCTGTAATTACGGGTTTCTGGAAGAGCGCAGGTTTACATAATAAAAAGATTTTGCCTGTGCTAACAAGGTGTAGTTTCAGCGCCAAAAAATGAGGGAGTGTTCTGATGAGACAATGTGTTCTACCGCTTCTCCACACTGAGTGTTTACATTGGAATTTAGGAAAAGTGAAACGACGTTACGACATGTAAGAATTGACTAAAAACCTGTCAAGTAGGACTTCTGTGTTTCATAACAGCCCCAGATTGTCCACATAAAGAAACTGAAATATCAACGTCTACTTTTCTAACATTAATCCCACTAACTTTAACCTAAACGTAACTTCACCTTAATGTGTTCTCGCCTTAAAAATGTATGACCCATGACTTGATCTATGACACCACTATAATGTGACTGGTTGCAACAACATGACTCAAACCTGCAGCACACACACACGCACACAAAATGGAGTTTTGAGATAAGATACATAAAAAGAAAAGTTATGATTAATTTAATGACCAAAAAAAACAAAAAAGCTTTCTATGTCATTTCCACACTATTTTAATTTTTTAACAACTGGATTGTGTGTCCATTGGTTACATTTTCATGACCTTTTGTCAGTTTCCATGTACTCAGAGGGAGGATTTAATTTGAAAAGATGATTATTTTTGGGAGGGAATATCATTTTAATGAACCCATTAAACTGAACAATAATGAATAAATGAATTAAATATTTATTTCAAACAAAAATAAAATGAAAAACAAAACAAAAAAAAAAACAAGGGGGAAAAAATGTACAAACATGAGTTCAAAAAGGAGCAAGAAGAAGTCTAAACCTATAAACTCCCACCCCCTTGTTACCCTATGATTCACGACAATATTGCATGTTCCTATATGGGCTGCAAGGTGGAGCGGTGGACAGCAAGAAGGTTGTCGGTTCACGTCCTGGTGAGGACACCCGGGATCTTTCTGTGTGGAGTTTACATGTTCTCCCCGTGCAGCGTGGGTTCTCTCCGGGTTCTCTGGCTTCCACCCACAGTCCAAAAACATGTTGAGGTTAATTGGTGATTCTAAATTGTCCGTAAATGTGTCTGTCTGTCTCTAACTGTAGCCCTGCGATAGATGTATTTACGTTTGTCCTCTGCCTTCGCCCTGAGTCATCTGGGATCGGCTCCAGCCCAACCCTAGTGAGGATTAAGCGGTGTATAGATAATGGATGGATGGATGTTCCTATATATAATGAATGGATTTAATATAAAATATGCATCAATATATAATCGATTAACTGCACCGATACACAGTATATAATTGTACCATACACATAATCAGTTTCTTTAGGATAAATGTGTCATCTACTAATATATTGTTATAAAAATGTATATTACCAGTATAAATAAATCACAACAGTACACTACATAAATATATGTTGTATATATACATATCAATCAGTAATGGATTTAATATACAATATTATATTATATATAAAACAATATTTAGTTGCCCTCATTAGGATATATGTGATACCACTACCAATTAATCACTAACAAATAACAGCTCTGGAGGTATACTATGATAAGTAATAATAGTGTTAATGCAACCTAATGATACCTACTGAATATGTTTTTTGTTTGCACTTTTGAACGGATTGATATTATTAATTTGTTTAAATTGGATATCTGATTTGTTCCATAATTTCACTAAGTACAACAAAACACAACAACTTCACATATTGTCGCCAAAGTAATTGGGCTTTAATAGAATAAGAAATAATATTACAATGACTGGGGTCAACCAGTAGCTTCATATAACCACAGTGCTCACAGTTCACTTCCCGCCTGGGGTGATATTTGCTGCATGCCATTCCTTTCTCTTTCAACCGCCGTTTCCTGTTTCTGTACGCTGTCCAAAAAAAAGGCAAAAAATACCAGTATAGTCCACTTCTCTGGTGTCAGTCCATCTGCACAGTTTGCTGCAGACTGAATCAAATTATTGATTTAAAAAACAAACAAAACGAGTAAATACACAACTTCTGTCTCATTCTTTAAGGTTTCTGTCTTGTCATCAGGTGTATGTACATCCAGTGGTTTGTTTGTGAGCCTGAATTTGAAGTTTTACATTTCATTTCCTTGACCAGCAATGTTTTCAGTCAATAAAATAAACTTAACACAGACATTTTCAAACCTACATTTCTGCGCATAAAATACAACAAAATGTCAGCAAGTTAGATAAAAGTCAGTCTTCATTGTTAGTGCTCTTCTTGCAGGTTAACAGCAGGAACAAATGTACTTCACCTCTTTAAAGTCTCAGTGTTTCTCGCTTACTTCCGAGTGTCTTCCTTGTGCAGCGTGCCAAAGAGTCTGTCCCAGTGTGTGAAATACGGAGCGTAGTTTACTTTGAACCTGAGGTGGTGGAGGTCATGATGCTGAGCTCCTCCGTAGAGGCCGAAGGGCACCAGCCTGTGTGGAGACCAGGGGAACTCATAGCCCGAGTGAGCCTCCACCGACAGGTAAATGTTAGTGATGAAGAAGAACATCTCAGTGAGCGGATGGCAGCTCAGCAGCGCCGGGTTCACTGTGGAGAAGAAGCTGAGGCTCAGCATCTCCCAGACGCCCGTGTTTTCCGTGGTCAGGGAGAAGGTAGCGGTGATGAGGTGGTGCTCCTTGTGGAACGAACGGTAGAGCCAGGAAACCTTGTGGTGCAGCAGATGCCACAGAAAGTACTGCATGTCGAACAGGAGGAGGCAAGCCAGGACATCCTTGACAACAGACAGCACGTCTGGTGCCAGCGGAGGAGAAACCACAGGCTTCCAGTACCAGTGCAAAACAGACAGAGGCAGCAGGAAACACACATGGTTGTGGAAAATTTTACGCAAGCACCCCCAAGCCATTACCCACGTCACTTTTCCCTGAGGCTGGATCTTGAAGCGGCGAACCAGGGTCAGTCTGTAGCAGAGCAAATCCAGGCAGGCGTATGGGAGGCAGCAGCTCAGGTAAACTGTCAGAGAGAATAAAACTGGGAAAAATGGAGATCTGAAGACAGCCTGCTGATCCCTGAACCAGTCCCAAAGACTCTGCAAAAAAAGCCTCTGCGTGCTCTCTGAGTTTGTCATCCCTGCAGTGTGAGAAACTGTAACTGTACTGACGGATTACTAAAAAGATGATGTGATGGAGTGTTGCCACATTGCGCAAGAAGCATTTCCTGCACTTTTTTTTTTTTTTTTGGTCTTCAGTCAAACAACACAAAGGATTTATTCAGTCATGTGACGGCCTACAGTGGTGCTGTCACACTTCATCACTCTGAACATAATGTAAATGTGTAGATTGTTTAACTATCCAAAAGAAAATCTCCAGCTCACTTCATGAAACTATATTACATTCATTCTTTATTACTTATTAAATATTTATTACTCTATCACCTTTTCTTCTTCTTAGAACTGAGACCATACTAGCTGCTACAAAGGTGATGCCAAACGAAATGTTGCTGTATTTTTGTGCAATGACAATGTTCTTCTTCTTCTTCTTATATGTTTTGTATTTGTCTATATATAGACACTTTCTGCAGGGCAATTTCTGCTTACGAAAGCCAAAGTTGTGATTGTTGTGGCATTGTGGTGCTCAGTCTGAGCATGCTGTGTGGCTCCTGTGTTCTTCTTGTGCTGTTGTTAAAGCACAAAGCGCCACCTTGTGGATTCAAAATGTTTCAAAATACAGGGTAAAGTGTCAGTTAGACCTTCACATGACTGCTTAAAATCCATCAGGAACCCCCTTTTGGGATATTAGAGGTTCCTCAAGCAACTCCTTCTCTGAACCAAGCTGCTAAAGGTTTCTCCATGAATCAACAAGCAATGTTCCCCAGAGTTCCTTGAGGGTTTCATAATTCTTAAAAAAAGTACCTTGAGCACAGTGCTTTACTGTAACATTCATTTCACTTTGAAATAACTAGGACATTTATTTAGAAGAATTCAACTTTACAGTCAGTTAATATTATGCATCACAGTGACTGCAGTGGATATTTTTTAAACAAGTGATTACTTAAGATATACATTTAGTTTGCTGCATATGGTGCATATATTCACACATCTGCTTGGAGATTTTTTTTTTCTGTTCTGTTGTAATCCTTGATTCAAAGGGGAGAGAAAAAAAAACCCTGGAAATGCATATATTCGAGAAAAACAGGGACCAATAAATACAGGTATACTGCAACAGAAGTCTATTTTTTAAATGGTTAATAATGATTAAGATGAATAAAGAGGAGATTTATTGACTATTGACTTCACTTGTGAACTCACACATGAATCTCAACAGTCACATTAAAATAATTACCAAGTAAGTCCACGACCTCCTGAAGAATATAACAAGACTTTAAGGACTTATGTCTCAGTAGCGCTTGGAAAAATGTGTCCATGCAATCTGCAGTTGACTCGACTGCTCCAACAGTGTCTTCACAGGTGTCAGCTGCAAAGAACTGCTTTTTAAAACACAGCTGTCAAATACAGACTACAAAATAAAGGTGCATCTCATATAATTAGATTTGGCGGGAAAAGTTCAATACTTTTCATCCAGTATTGAGAGCACATAGATGAACACACTTCTCAGAGTTTGGATATTTCTACAATATAAACCCTTTGTGTTGATCTTTTGACATATTCTAATATTTTGAGATTGAGGGGTTTTTTTGGGGGGGGGGGGTTTCATGCGCTGTAAGTCATTATCATTTAAATTAAAACAATTACAGGCTTGAAATACTTCACTTTGTGTCATGAGTGTAGAATATTTACTAATTTTCACTTTGAGCAATGTTTGATAAAAAAATATTAAACTTTTTCCACCATATTCTAATTATATGAGATGCACTTGGACATTTCTATGAACCATCCTGACACCATAAAGCTGGAACAAACTAGAAGAAAACCACAGATCAGCTTTTGAACACCCTAAACAGCTCTCTAACCTTTACTTTCCATGTTCTTTCACTTACTAATTCTTCATTTAACTCTTTTAATCGTGTTGCAAGGTCTTTTTTTTCTCTTGCTTCATGCTCTCTTTGCACCTTCTGTTCCTTATGTGCTTGCCTTGCCTCAAAATGTAACCTTTACCTTAGAAAATGGTGCAATTATCAGTTTCAGATCTGAAGATTTTTGTCTCTGGAGCCTAACAACGCCTCTGTTTTGCACACAGTCATCCTGAAGCAGCTCTCAGCTCCCAGTGGAGGCTGAGCTGGGCGGGCTCAGCGTTCATGGGTGGAGCTCACAGTCAGGAAATGTTGCAGCACAGAACCCAGAAACTGCCTCCGTGTTGTTCGCATGAGGCTCTTCTCACCGGATGGACCAACCGATGAACTTTAACATCATGAACTCAGCCAGAAAACGGCGCGGATCAGGTAAGTTCATCAGCTTCGTTTCTAGAAGTTCTTCTCTGAACTTTGTGAACATGGATCCGAGCGGATCCAGCAGCATCTTCCCTCTGAGCTGCGTCTGTTGGCTGCTATGAAGTGACTCATGTGTCTGGAATAATGTTTACGTGCCGCCACATTTCCATCATTTTGTTGCTAAGACAACAGAGGCGTCACGGTGAAATACACATATTTACTTTTTTTTTTTTTTTTTTTAAATTCTCAAACACCCTGAGATCATTGGGATGCGGAGTGACACAGCCAACAGTGGTGGGAATATATTTATTTTACATTTCAATGAGACTTTACTCCTATTTCATGCTACTCTAGTAAGTATTGTGCTCTTTACTTCACTTTATTTAATGTTTTTTTCCTCCCCTAAGCATGTGGCATTCATATTTCAACACCTGAGAGAACTAGTTCAAGTAGACAAAAATAAAATGAAATAAAATAATTCTAATTAACACAATGTCTTAACCAATTTGAAAACACAGGAACAGCATCAGGAAGAGTTCATTTGCAAAAACAAATAACAGATAACATTTTTGTAGATTTTCAGAAAACTTGTTTGTTTTGTTGTTTGCTTGAGATCATATCAATCCAAACTGAAGCTGAGTGGATTTGACTCAGTAGAAATGACAAAGATAGAGATAGCTTAAGTTTGATTGATATTGTCTGAGGTAATCGATGGAAAAGTGGGTTTTCTGAAGGTTTGTGAAGATGGATTTATCTGTTTTTGCAAATGAACTCGTCATAAGCAGAAATTACAGATGCAAATAGTTCACATACAACCAACAGGTTTCCAGAGGACAATAAAAAGTGATGGGGTCCACTTGTTGTTGCCATGGTGACTTATCAAGTTAATAATTTGCAGCTTGTTTATGCATTTGCCTGTTAATCCAGCATTTTCGCCCACCACATGTTTAATTTAATTAGTGAGGATTTTTTTTAAAATTTATTTGCTTGTTTTTAATCTGTTTGCTTGTGTTTTCTGAAGTTACAGTCCAGTTTGGTTACAAAATGACATCACTTTTAACACAAAATACAGGTTTATAAGATTTGAGGCATTACTATCAGTTAAACTAAGCAACACTGTGTAAGTTAGAGCCAGCTGCAACATGTTCTTACCTTATAATGCATAAAACTAATCTATAAATCTATATTTTTTAATAGAATCCAGCACCAAAGCAATTATTTTAACACAAGGTAAACATATGTTGATGTTGTTACAGTTGTAGTTCGTCCATTGCAGCAACCAAATCCTCTTTCAGTGTGATCAGAGTTTAAAAACTCACTCTAAGCTACACAAATATAATTCTCACCCCTTTGCTTTAGATGTGGTTTAGTGGAAGCCACATTCTTAGACTCCACCTGGCTCTGCCACAGATTGTGTAGTTTTTGGCAGAAGCTGTAAATGTTTTGTCACAAATTCTTGGGCAATGGTGGCTCACAGAAATATTGCTTCTCATTGCCAAAAAAAATGTGTGAAATATGGCACAGAAGAAAAGCAAACTCGTCCTTTCTGTACATTTTTATTGGTTATACATTGTGCTTAACTACGATTTGCAGTGCAGTACATGGAGTTCTACTGCAATATTTTCACATAGTGGTACTGTTTTTGTGGCTTAAGTGAAGGGTGTGAGTCCTTCCTCCAGTCTGCCAGTCTTTTCTTCTATATTTATACTGTATATAAATGTTTTGAGCCCCGAATTGTAAACTTTCAAGGGAAAAGTGAGTAGCTAAAGAGGATTAAGTCTTTGTTTGTGTTGTTGTCGTGCTCTGCAATAAAACATTTCAAATTAAATGATTTTTTAAATGAGGTCCGTCTCGGGCCTCTTGTCTGGCTCGGTGTTTGTTTGGATGGATGGATCCATGTAGAGGTTGGAAGGCTTCCCAGTGAGTAAGTCATGGGAAGTTTCCCTGGCAATGTGGCCTCGTGTACTCCGCCTTCGCTGCTGTCATTTCAGAGCTGAAGTCTGACGAAGATGTCTTCTCATGATGTTGAAGGGCGATTATGATGCATGTGCACTTCCCTTTTTGTGTTTCACTTAGTGTTAGGGAAGTCCCATTTTAGGCACATTTTATGACTATCTTAAGCACTGTAGTGATGCCAGTTTCAGTCCTTTGTCACTAGAATACTCCTGCGGGGTCTTTAGTCATGCTTCTCTTAAAGTACTGCAAGTTACAAGCAACTAACTGATGTTTAGGGCTATTTAAACATGCACGCCACACAGGCTTAAATTCTACTTCAAGATGTGCACGACACTTATGTAATTTCCTCTTTTACAGTGTACAAACTTTACTCAGAGTTCTTCTTACAAAAACGGTAGTGTTGTTCTTTTTGTTTCGTGATAAAACGGCAACAGGATGTAAATGTTAGCACGCACAATGTGTGGTAACTAAATAAGGTTATCAGAGAAAGAAGGGCGACGTTCTTGTGAAGGGCTCCATCTTCCTTCCTCTCGTGTTGCAGAGTCTGATACTGGACGAGTGCGTCACTCACAGCACCGCCTCTATATTTAGAGGTACAATCTGTGCTTCCCCTGATGGGTGGAGTGCTCTGTAAAAATAACTGGATTTATGTATATGTCATGATTTCCATACATTTTATCCAGTGCATTAGCGCATTTTTGCCATATATGTTCAGCAAAACTACTCTTTCTGCTTTTGTTTCAGGGTCTGAGCTGCAGCTGCCTGAACATCTACACAGTGTTTGAATGTGCATGTTAGAAACTAGCTGAAGATGCAGGGGGCCATTGCACGAGTGTGTGTGGTGGTGGCCGCTGCCATATTAAACCACCCCTTGCTCTTTCCTCAAGAAAACACCACGCTCCCCGAGCAGGACGAGGAGCTGATGGCTCGCATGCGGGAGCACGAGGAGAGGCTGGAAATGGAGCAGGCCAGGCTGGAAGAAGAGCTTTCACAGATGGACTCAAAGCAGGAGGAAAGCAGCTCGGAGGATGGTTACAGTTGGTACTTTTGGAGCACCTTGTCTTTTGTGATATTCTTCACTATCGAGATGTGCAGGGTAGATTTTGCCGAATCAGAAATCCGACCAGTTGAGGATGAAGACGTATTCTCGGAGAGTGGATCCATCACTCCCAGGATGATGGTACTAGACAAGGATATCCTGAGCAACTTCTGTGACAAATGCACCTACGCTGCAGCCCATGAGAACTGGAGGGTGAGGGAGTTTGTGGAGGGTTTTGCAGACGACCTGCTGGAGTCGCTCAGGAGCGTGTGTGACAGGGAGGTGGACATGGAAGTCGGGGACTTTGTCGGGATCGGAAGCATGTTTGAGTCGTGGAAGGTGTGCAAGCCTCTGATGTGTGACCTTGTAGTGCCTTTCTCGCCTCCAGATCCGCACTCCTTCCAGTACCATCTGTGGTGCAGCCCGTCCAGTGACATACCTCCAGACATGCAGGGCTGCGGCAAGATAAAGGTGACCAGGTTTGGGGAGAACGAGGAGGGCTGCCTCTGCGGCTCCGCTAACCTGGGAGAGGACATGCTCTGTCTGTTGCACAGCAGGAATGACGCACTCAAAGCTGGCCACAGTCCTGATGAACTGCTCTGCTCCAGGAACACACATTTCTTAGCCAAAGATCAAGTCATGAAGTGGTTTCAGATCTCTGTCACCAAAGCGTGGGGACGCATCTCCCACAAGTACGACTTTGAGGTCACCTTTCGCAACCTGGATGCCGCCGGCGCTCTGAAGATCCGATTCCGTTCGGGGAAAGTCATCGTCATGAACATCATCCCGGTGGTTCAGCTGGAGGATACAGATGCTTATTTCGTCTCACACTTTCCATCAGATTGTGACAGCTACCCCGACCCATACTGGCCTCTTTCTTTCGCCGTCTACGAGAGGAATTTGCTGAAACATTTGGCTAAACGCCTACCACAGAATTCCTGTCATTTACACTGCCTCCAGATTGTTACTTTCCTGCACAGAAAGCAGTCAGGGCTCACGGGGAAAAGCGCCCTCACTAACTACCACCTAAAAACCGCTCTGTTGCACTTGCTGCTGAGTAAAAGGCCCTCTGCGTGGGGCGTCGAGAGCATGGAGCACCGGCTTCAGGATGTGCTCGGCTTCTTGCAGAGGAGCCTGCAGGAGAAGAGACTGAACCACGTTCTGATCGGGAACAGTAAGGTGCCCAAAGACGTCCGGGTTCCTGAGATGATTCGCAAAGCGGAGTCCATCAATCTGTTCAGGTCTCTGGTGTTGCAGAGGGAACTTTACACGGCAACAGTCAGGCATTTTCAGGAGATGTTGAGAAATGCACCAGTGCTCATACAGGAGTACACACCTCACTTGTCAAATGGAGGTTTACACCACAGTCTAGATGAAAGTTTATGAGCTCTGGTTATTCTCAGCATCAGAATTATGTCTCTAAATATCAGTCAGTGTCACCAGAAGTAATGTTGTGGCTGATATCTCACATAGACATGCAGCGGCTTCGCTTCAGCTGCTTTCTTCACCTCAGAGAAGCTAACCAGGGTTTTGCTGAGCAGCGTTTTCAGTCTTTTGTAACATCTAGTGCCAAAATAATGATTGATGGGTAGAGGTATTTTTGAAAATCACTCACCAGGACTGTTTTTCAGATTAAGTCACATTTCTTGTTCTTTGAGTATAACTAGGAAGAGAAATGTCCACCTGCTGCTGAAAGGAGCAGCAACCTACATGAAAGATGATAGTTATAGAAATGCATTTTAACAGAAATACCTCTGCTGGTCCAAACAAGGATCATCAACCAAACAGTACAGCAGTGTCTTGTTTTTCAGTCATACTGCTATGGCAGCTATTAAGAGTTGTGATGGTCATTTCTTTATTGCAGCTTTTTTCTTCATTTTTCCTGTGATATTTCTACTGTACTGATGTAAAATGTTATATAGCCAGGGGGGAAAACATAATGTGTATTTTTATGCATTTGTACAACAAACAGAAAATACAGATTCAGGCCAGAGTCATTGCATGGACGGAGTTTATTTTAAGTACAATACTTTGGATTACTGAAAACACCCTGAGTCAAAGGATTATTGTACCTCATTGTCATTATGGAGATTTTACATTTCCCATGATATCAAAATACCTCTTACACGTCCAGTACAGATATGTGTTTGCTCTTTTAATCTGAATGATTAGTTGAGGGTTTGGTCAGAACTTTCTACAGGCCATAGTCATAGTTGGGTGTCCCTTCGACGTAGGAATCAATGAAGACCTTGTGGGCTTCTGCAGTTTGCATGGTGGCTTTGACAGCTGGGTCCTCCCACATGCGCTCCATCCACTGCTTCATCTGAGGTGCGTCTTCCATGCAGCTGAGGAGACAAATGTAATGAAATCATTCGTGACAGACTAAATCACAGGACATGAACACACTTTTTTTTTTTTAAAAAAACTGGCCAAAATTACATATTTTGTTGATTGTTGAAGTGAGAAGCAGTAAATACTTCAAAATTGGTTTTAAACTGTTTTTATGCGTTAAAAAAACAAAACGCTGATTGGGCCAGATTTTCAGCACTTCTTGTAAAGTCTGCAGAGTTTTATTTACGCCGGAATTTGGGGGAAATGTATAATTGCGATTTGATTTTGGATCTTTTTTTAAAAAGTTGAGCTTCAGTTCAATTTTCATAAGTAATGGTGGATTACCACATCAGACACCATCAAAAGGTGTGACTGTCATGCAAAGAGGATGCCACAAATTTGCAACTGACACGACAGTTTAAACCCTGGGTCAAGCGTGCCGCAAAATGTGTGTGCTGTGGCTTATGGTAGTCAAACCACAGTGTGCACGCCTGAACCATCATCAATGCGCATTTTAAAGCACTTCCTGGATGTAACTTCCACCGTCTAAAATCTCATTAAGGAGTGACACTTATTGGAAATGGTTGGAGATGAGACAGGATGCACAACTGCACGTTTGCTGTGCAGAAAGGAAAACCCAAACCCTCTCATGACCATCAGGAAGAATGAGCTGATACAGAATTGGTGCAGTGTTGAAGCATAAACAGGGTCTGCACAGAGGAATCAAAAGAAAACCTTAAATGTCTGCGTGCAGTCGACAAATTAATCTAACTTCTTTGGCCACAATCAC